AGAACCGGCCAGCCCCCGACTCCCCCCTGGCCTCCTCAGCCCCCCTCCCCCAGCTCGCTTACTCACCCTCCGCCACTGCCTCCTCGCTCGCCTCCTTAGCCCCCCCTCCCTCACCCACCACTTGCCTACTCACCTCACTCCCCCCCCACGGGCCACACAGTGAGCCCATCTACTCAACCCCCGTGGGCCGCACAGCTTCGGCAGCACATATACAGTGGTGTCCCCCACTGATTCTCTTTCTCTTGTAATTAAATCTAGATTGCAAAGCTTCTTGATACATCACCTTAGAACAGTGGTCCCCAAACTTTTTACCTCATCCACCCCACCCCATCCACTCTCCCTCACTCCCTCCAAGCCCGGCCAGAAGTGGAGTCACGGCTCTGGGAGGGAGGGGACACGGACGGGGTAAGGGCCTGAGGCTGAGGGTGGGAGCAGAGCTGAGGCTGGGGCCCCGGGCATGGGGCCGGCATCTGGGGCCTGAGCCCAGGCCAGGAGTGGGGCTGGGTGGCGCTTCCTGCCTGCCCTCCATGGGGGCTGGCCCAGGCCCCCGCCGCACCCCCTGGAATGTTCTTCCTTGCTCCCTTGTGGGGTACACCCCACAGATTGGAGACCTTTGCCTTAGAAACTTGCCGACAGCTTTCTCACTCGAATGAGAAGGTTGGCTTTTCAATTCTGCCTTAAGACTTTACCATGTTCCCTTTGTAATCTGCATATCTGAAATAAAATTGTCACCTTTGTTAGTTGGTTTAATTAAAAATGTCATTACTTCATTTGCATCCATATTCTGTCAGGAGAGGGAGGATGGGAGTGGGTTGATTGAGCAACTGCTTGATTAGTTTCTCTGTCTGTGGTCTGAATGACTCCTAGATTAGGCATTGTATTCTGGGCAGCAGCAGCATCTGGATCTGTGTGACAGGACAGTTCCCTGGCCTTTGCCCTAGCTTTGCTTCTGGCATTAGCTGTTTGAGAGAGCTAATGACAGGTTTAACTTGCTGCTGGGCTCTTGCTCATATGATCACCATTTTCTTTTCCACTCTCATCCTTGATAGTGAGAAGCATAATCCATGTTGCATGTTTTTAAATAATATCAGATTCATTTGACTTGACTTGATACCTTGCATGGCGTTTCACCCTCTTTTTTTTTTTCCTCCCCCCTAGTTGTTTAAAAGTTGGATGGCCCAGCAATATTTAATGTATGTTCTTTGTATGCTTACATTGAAAATACAGCGCTGAAAGAGAAAACTATAATACAGTATCGGGGGTAGCCGTGTTAGTCTGTATCTACAAAAACAACAAGGAGTCTGGTGGCACCTTGAAAGACTTAACAGATTTATTTGGGCATAAGCTTTTGTGGGTAAAAACCTCACTTCCTCAGATGCACCTTGTTGTTTTTATAATACAGTAAACCGACTTATCATATTATGCACAAAAGGCATTTTCTAGTACAGGAAGATGCACAGTTCCAAATTTAATATTTAGAACTTAAAGCTGCTTGATATTTTTCAAAATATTCAAAATATTTAGAATGTTTGAGGTATCAGTCTTGTTCAGATGCTAATAAGAATGCTTTAATTTCTCTAGCAGAACAGTCTGTGTCCAGAAATGTAACTTGTTTTTTAAAAAGGTTTTGTTGAAAACCTCCTTCAAAAATGTATCCAGAAATAAAGATTAACTACATGCACACAACCTTGTTTGCTGCTACAGATATGTTTCTACATAATATGAAATGTATCCACGCCAGGTGGAGGAATGAGCCTGTTTGCCTGGCTTATTATGATCAATAAATGGAATAAATTTTAGGAAAAGGAAATCAGAATGGTAGTCTCCTTCTCCCCGCCCCCCCAGCCCCTTCCAATAATAATAATAATAATAATAATAAAAAAGTTGGTACAGAGAATGTTGGTTGCCATTAGATTTGGTTGCCTTGCCTCCTACCCCACCACCGCTGCATGTTCAGATGAACATTACCTGGCTCTTGTTTCTGTTTTGCTCTTGGTCATTCCTGTGGAGTAGATTTTCCATCATCTGATGGAAAACCTGTACTTATGGTATAAGACTTTACTTGTATTGTACAGTGGATTTGGCTTTTCAACAGCGTTTTGGATTTTCTAGGACTTTTTATGATCTACTACATCAAGAATGCTGTGTGTAGGTATAAGTTAGAGTTTTAGATTTCACTCTGAACTTTCTTGTTGTGAGATTGTTTGGTTTTTACACTCCTCCACAAATCTGTTTTTTAAAGCCCAACTGATTTAACGTCTAACAAAACACAAATCTGTATAGGATGCTACATCTGTGTACCACTTCCCTCTGTTGGATGGAATGCAAACATGCAAGCAGTTACTGCTAGTGAATAAATACATGATATGGCGTACAGAGTTTCACTCTGGAGTGAATGTGGGTTTGGGATTTGGTTTAGTTTTATTAACCAACCTGATTCTGTGATGTTGTGCAGTCTATATGGTTTTATAAAAACATAAGCGAATATAATGTAACTGGGATAGTTTTAGAAAAATATGGTAAAAAGTGAATATAACGTAACTGGGATATGCTTCATGCAAAAGGTCTCTTGCAAGGTATCATTACAAAGCTTATAATCTACTGAGTGTGATCATCCGATTTGTATAAATGTACCACTCTTGTATGTAAAACTAGAAATATAAAATGTAACTCTGAGGGCCTATTGTAATTATGTAAAGTGTGGGTCATTAATGATGGTTTGGAATCTTGGTGACTCCCATTGTCTGTAGATGGCTGTGTTTACCTGTGAGTCTTCCTGTATATGTGTGTGCTGGCAAGTGAGTAATGAAGTCTTGCAGTGACATGTGATCATGTCACCTGAACTGGAATCCATCTTTAACCTGGTGCTTTTCCAGTGAGGGGGGGTGGAAAACCAGAGAGACAAAGAGTTCCCACCTTATGCAAAAGATATATAAAGGGGGGGGAAGAGAAGAGAGAAATGGAGAAGCCATCATGAAGAATCCCCTAGC